GCCTCAATGAGCCCATTCCTGAGGGCATAGACAGGCTGACTCTCACGGTGTTGCTGAAGTCTACCTGTTGTTCACCTTCATCTTTATCATGTCATCACTGCCAGTACAGTCACTGGCAAAAAGATATTGAGCATCTTCTGGGGTGTGGCCTTGGATCAAGTGCTTGGATAGAGGTGGATTAAAGGGAAAAAAATTTACCTTTCATCACTGAACACCTGCTAGGCCCTCAGCACTGCCCCTTATCCCAGAAGGGAGTTGGGTACCAAGGAAGCATAAGCCACTGCCTCCTGACTTGGACTCCTCTGTGGACTTTGCATAGCAGAATGACCTGCAGCTGACAAGTTTGTGTTGGGGTCTTGCTCTCATCCTGTTTGCTTGGAGAGGCAGCAGCTTCTATGTGTGGGAGGAGGGAGCTGCTGCTGTCTTCAGGGGAGCTCAGCCATTTGACAAATGGGAGTCATTTTCATAAGTACGAGAAAGGGATCACTGCTGTGGGCATCCACCTGTTTGTGTGGGGCCTGATTTTCTGAGCTGCTGCTCTGGGGCTCGTTCAGGGATGAGAGCATCAGTGGAAATAGTCTAGTAAGGCAGGAGCCAGAGCAGACTTTAAAAGTGGCATCTTTTCAGCTGGCAACCAGGAATCAGAGCTTTGAATTAGCTTTATAATTTGAAAATTGGTCTCTTTGCATTGGGTGGTTTATTTTGTGCTAACAAAAGCCATCAGGGACACAATACTGCTTGCCTTTCCTCCGTGGCACTGCTCTGAATTTAAAAATGTTGAGCCTGAGATGGAGTGTTTCCATTCTTGGGATTTTTGGAGAGTTGTGCCTCCTTGTCAGGGGGGACCTGGTAGTACACACAGAACCTTTAGCCTGGTTGGGGAAACTGCTTTGGAGAAGAGGAAGCCAAGCTGGGCCTCGGAGTACAGCACGAGTGGAGGAGCCTCAAGGGACTGTGCCTGGCTCACCTGTGCGTGGCTTTGTGTGGCAGTGCTCTTGATCGTGTCACAGGGCTGCAGCAGTGCTCAGACCTGCCAGGACCAAATACTGAAGACTGTTTCTTTGTCCTCCAGCGAGGGAGAGGTTGACATTCCATTTTCCCCCACAGGCTTATTCGTATGTGCTTTCTCCAGATGGTGTGCTTCAGAGAGGTCCTTTTGCTCTGGGAACGGTTCACAATGGAAATGAGGTCATGCATGGCGTGGGGTGGCTCAGAAGGCAGCCTACTCCTCTTGGCTCTGTGCAGCCCTGGCCATTTAGTGCTCAGAAGCTGTGGGCTCTCCACCCCACATACAGCCTTTCCAAGGCCATGGACATGCTCTTGCACTGGTGCTTTCTGCCTTTTTTTCCTAGCATTGTCCAAATACTCCTTGGGTTTTGGTACTAGCAAGTAGTGTGAGAGAGAGTAATGAACAGTACTTGGGGGTGAGTACAGTGATTAGAGTGTGAAGACAGTTGGAAGGTGTGAAGTGTTGAGAACTTGTTGAGGACCCAGTTGGGGCCTGGAAAGGCTGACGGAGACATGGCTGATTTTATGTAGGTGGGGAAGAGGAGAAGTCACTCCAAGAATAAAATAGTTTCTTAAGCATTGTCAGTGCCTAACAGGGAGCCCAGGAAGGAAAAAGGACATACCACAGATTGAATCAACACAATGACAGTTGCAGCCCAGTCTGGTGAACCCAACTGTACTTGAATAACAATAAAAAAGAAAAAGACAAGAGATAAGGTTGGGCTCAGTCACTCCAGTGCAGCAAATAGGAACAGGGCCACCTTCCACTTTCATTCATCCCAAAGGTGCCCAGGGCTGGTAAAGGGACTGTTCATGTAGCTGATGCTGTCCCACGAAGGATTTACATCCTTCATATAAATGTAAAGGATGTTCTTGGGGTCAGAAATGCAGCCTCTTCAATCCCAAGGCCCATAAACCAGTAGGCGGTGTGTGCTTTGCTTGTGGCCAAGTATGAGAGCACACACATGTGTGTGTATGTGGACTGTATGTGTGAGACCTGAGGAGGCAGAGTGTAGTCTGGCATTTAACTGTGAGTCCTGTGTGTGCTGCAGAAATCTTCCATTGTCTCACTTGGTTTCCTTTAATGAGTCATATGCTTCTTTTCTCATGTGTTAAATGGAGATACTCCTGTTCGCTGGTTATTAAAGCAGTTCTTGTGCTTCAGGTACCTTTGTTAATGTAAATCATCTCCCCTAATTTTTTCCTCTGGGGGTCTTATAAGAAAGGGGAAGGCTCAGCCGTCTTGGGGTCTTCCTTGCTTGCTCTATGCTTGCTCTTCACATGGTGAGTGTAGAGATGTATGTAGAAGATGAGACTTTTCCTAGGAAGTGTTGGGTTCTCCATGATTCTCACGTTCTTTTTAATATACTTTACCCCTGGGGGTGCAGCAGCTGCCTGGAGTAGCTGGGCAGAGAGAGGGCGGAGGGAAGGCAGAGGGCAAACATACGGTGAGAAGGGAGTCAGTATCATGGTGAGAACACAGCCACGGATTGAGTACAGCAAAGAGGCAGTTTACCAGTCCTTAGGGGTTGGGGGTGGGGCTCTAGTGCTACAGGGTAATAGTGAGGAGGCAACTGTCCGGGGGTAAGCAGTCAGTTGACCAGCTGGTATTATTGAAGACCTAATGTGCTCATCTTGGTATCACACAGGGTGGTGAATACGTGGCATCTGTGATACCATTCCCTACCCTTGGTGCCCATGCAGACATCACTAATCTATCATGATATGCTTTCCTGTTGTACTTGGAAAAGTCTCAGAATCCTTTAGGTACAGCATTTTGGACAGTGGTGCCAATCAATTGGCATGAGAGTGCAGACTTATTGCCTGTCAGTGGTGTGATGATGGAAAGAACATAGACTTTGGAATCTGGCAGAAATGACACCTGAGCCAGGTTCAAGCTTTGTGGCACTGAGCAAGCATATTAGGCCATTTTTCATTGTCAGGGACAGAAACCTAATTCAAATTAGCTTAAGCTGTTACTTAAATACTAAAAGCAGAAAGTTCAGGGTAAGGCTGTCATCATCAGGCATGGCTAGATGCAAGGGCCCAATGACATTGTTAGGGTCTGTCTCTAGGACAGGCATTCTCTGGGTGAAAATGTTCTCACTGGCTGAGCTGGGTCACGTGTTCATCTCTGAACTGGTCTCTGTGGAGTGGAGGACAAGGCTGGTGGTGGGGATGAGAGGGTCCAGAAAGCAGGTCATGCTGGGAGCAAAAGTTATCTTAAAATCAAACATAGAAGAATTAGCTTCAGATAAGAGATGGGGAGAGCTGGCTGGCTGGTAAGGTGCCAAGTGTTCATCCGAGTCCTGGTGAGTTTCAGTGAAGAGAGGTAAGGGCTCAGCAGCTCCCTGGAAGGACCTTATATACACTGAGCAGAGGGAGGGTGTCAGTGGGGGGACTTGGAAGCGATGCCTGTGCAACTGGTCTGCCTGCTCCAGCCGCCATCTTCCAGGCAACTGGACATGGTATCCCGATGCTGGGCAATCTGCCTACAGTAGCACCCCATTTCCAGCTGCCTCTCTTGATCCTGAGGCACCTGGGCAGTTGACAGGTCTCAAAGGCATGCTTCTGTTCTGAGGCCATTCAAGTTTGGGTCCAGGCTGAGCTGATTACTTGGCAAACCTTGTAGGATTCTGGGGGAGGCATCAGGCTGATGAGACGGAGTATTGTGGGGTCTTGGGGCCAGTCTTGAAGGCTCTGGTTGCCTTTAAACCAGAGCACTGCAGATGTCCCTCCTCTGGATTTCACTGGTTCCTACTCAGGTTTCCTTCCTGCAGTGTCTCTCTCTACCCCACCTTGTCAGCTCCGCCACAGGGAGGGCTTGGCTAGGTGGTTCTGGCTTGGTGTCTTTCATGTGGTTGCAGTCAGATGGTGACCAGAGCAGCTGGGGGCTGGCTGGGCGTCTGTCTCTCTGAGTGCATTCTCTCCATGTTGGGCTGATGGGCTTTCTTAGGGCCACCAGGCTGCTCGTGGGGTGTTTGGCTTCCCCTAGGGCCAAAGAGTTGGTGGATGCAACATTACCATCACTTTTGCTGTACTTTATTGGTCAAAACAGTTGCCACAGGCCAACCCCATTTCAGGAGGAGAGGGTATAGATCCTATTTCTCAAGGGGAGGTGAATGTCAAAGAATTGGCTGACATGATTTAAAACCATATGCCCTGCACCAGCTCCTGTTAAACCAGCACTCAGTGCCCCGATGTGTACCTGGGTGTAACCTTGCTTTGGTCTGACCCCATCATTGTATTATACTTATTTTTATTTTTTGGATCTGAAGTGCAGAGATTTGAGTGAATCATACTCTTCAATTCATTGTGCATTTGCCATTATTGATTCATGTAATGGCTTTCTTATTCACTTCATTCATTCATTCATTCATTCATTTTTCCTTTTTATCTCAGTATCTTCCTCCCATTTTTATAACCTTCCTTAAACAATCATTCTATTCTCTTTAATGGATATCATTTTAGTTATGTATTCTTTTTTCCATTTTCTTTTTAAAATTTAAATTATTTTATTGTTGTTCAATTACAGTTGTCTGTATTTTCTCCCTACTCCCCTGCACCCCCTCCAAACCCACCTCCCTCCCTTGTTTCCACCCTCCCCCTTGGTGTATTCTTATATAAATGTATTGTAATTTATACATACTGCATTGTGTGTTTATCTTTTTCTGTATTCTGGCTTTCTCTAGCGCTGTTTCTGAGGTCCATGCATGTTGTAATGCACACATCTCATGTCTTATCTGCTGGGAATTAGGCAGTGGGACCAGAGGGGGGGAGTGACATTCACAAGGTCATACAGCTGAACCAGGGCTAGAACAGATTTCCTGACTTTTTTTTCAGCATCACACACTAGTGTTTCCATGTGCGTCCTCCAGACTGCAACAGTTTGATATAAGGTTTTTAAGTAACTGTGAGACTGGGATACAGAGCTTATTACAAGCTTTCCTGTTTTCTCCCTGGTGACTGTTGTCCTCTGTCCTCTCCTACAGGTTCCAACTATGGGAGCCCGCGCCCAGCTCATGCCAACATGAATGCCAATGCAGCGGCAGGGCTTGTCCCCGAGCACATCCCCACCCCAGGGGCAGCCTTGTCCTGGCAGGCAGCCATTGATGCGGCCCGGCAGGCCAAGCTGATGGGAAGTGCTGGCAATGCGACCATCTCCACGGTCAGCTCCACACAGCGGAAGCGGCAGCAGTATGGGAAACCCAAGAAGCAGGGCAGCACTACTGCCACACGCCCACCACGTGCCCTGCTCTGCCTCACTCTGAAGAACCCCATCCGGAGGGCGTGCATCAGCATTGTCGAATGGAAATATCCTTTGTGCCCTGGTCTGGGCAGGGTATGCATTCCTGGAGCCCCAGTGGGGCCAGCTCCCCATGGCCTACCGGCCAGGGAGCTGTGTTGTCCCTGCTGAGCCTATAAAGTGGTTATCAGACCCACTGCATCTGCTGGGACCTGTTAAAATGCAGAGTTCTAGGTGCTGCTCCAGACTTAATGAATCAGAATCTCTGGGGATAGGCTCTGGGAATCTGCTCATGTAACAAGCCCCCTAGGTGTTTGTTTCTTTTCTTTTTCTTTTTTTCATATAATAAGCAATATTTGAGAAAATGAACCTAACAGGTTATGACATATCCTCTTACTCAGCTGAGCCTGCCCAGGGACCCACTGGTGTATTGGGTTACTGGTGGCTTTGTGCTGCTGCCCCATAACCTTCCTTCCACTTCACGGCACTGGCACAATGTGATGACCTCCCTCACTCGAGGGTGAAGGAGCCTAGGAAATTCAAGACAGTGGTGGTCAGTGACTCCAGGTCTTGGTTCAAGGACCTGGAACAGTGGTTCTCAGCCTGAGCTTCATCTTAGCATCACCTGGAAAATTGTAATAATACACAGGTGCCTGAGCTCCACCCAGGCATATTTTAAAACTCTCCAGGTGATTCTAATGTGCAGCCAAAGTGAGAACACTGGCCTGCATTATTACACGCAGATCCACTTTGTATGGAAACCAGTGACTAGGCCCTTGAGAGAAGATAGCTTTGAAAGGTGGGGCTCTCACTGTGGAATTACAGGCCCCTTGACATCATGTTAATTGTGGATAGAGATGGCAAGGACCTTAAGTATCAGTAGGTCTATCCCTGACTTTCCCTGGTGATGAAATTGAGTCCCACAGGAGTGACTCTCTAGGTCATATGGTCAGTGACAGACAGGACTAGCACCCTGGGACTTAGTGTGGGGCATTTTTTTAGTGAGCATTCATTCAGACAGGGCTATGGTGGCACTGAAAGTTCAGGATGGGGGTGTTAGGTTCCATTCACGAGTTTCAGTGGAAAGATTTAGAAGTCTTGGGTAGTGGTTGAAAGGTCAAAGAAGATGTCTTGGGGAGAAAAGAAACCTTTTTCTCAGCAGGAAATGTTAGCTCTATCAATGTTTGAACCCCTCAACTCAAAAGTAACTTTGGGAGAATACAGTTCAAGCCAAGTGGCTTCTCCAGAGCAGGCTAGTCTGTCCTGAGTGGCCAAGTATGGTCCTGGTTCCCAGATGACGGTGAGAGCTCAGTTCGCGTGGCCCTAGCAGGCCACTGTCATAGCTGCTCACTGAGAACTGTGGAGTGGGAGGGCTGGGGACCCTGCCTGTCAGGCCTTCCTAGACAGGGGATACTGAGGCCTGGAGAAGCTGCAAAACTTGTCCAGATCACACTGCTGGCAACTGACAGTGGGGCTTCAAACCTAGGTGCCCCAACTCCCAAATCTATGCACTCCCCACACCCTGCACGCCCATAGCACAGAAGAGGTACTAGGGTGGTTGTTCAGGGAATGCCATCCAGCCCCACTTAGTGCATAGTGGATCCTGGGTCTGGGGCCTAAACACCCATCCCCTTGTGGCCCTGGCACCTGAACCCCTGGAGCTTCAGTTTCCGCAGTTGGCTCCCAAAGTGTTAAATCTCCCTTAGGAGACATGTTCCATGAGTAGTAGTTAATCTCCTGGGACGAATGGGTCCCTGAGTGAGTGACATACAAAGCCTGGGAAGAAAGGAAGAGAGGGAGGTGACAGTAATACACAGGGCAGGTGGGGGAGGAATGGAAGAGCCAGGGCTTCCTAATGGAAGTGTGTGAGGCACTGTCCATGGAAACTGGTCAGGAAACGCAGGAGTCAGTGGCTGTGTTAACAAGGTAGTTGCCCAGTGTGCCTGCCGGGGGCCACAGCCACCTCTCTGCACTGCCCTGCCACACTTGGGCAGAGGGGTGCTGCAGCCACCCTCCTAGGGAATGTGTCCTCCATTGAGGGGAGAGGAAGGAGACCCAGCCTTGCAGTGCTGGTGGGTGGCATTCCCAGATAGCCTTTGACGGGTAGCTGACAGGTAAGGAGATGGACTGATGTACTAGCCAGTCAGTGTTCTCGAAAGAGTGGAATCTGACACTGTCATTAAGAAGAGGTAGCAGTTTAAAAAATGGTCTGGTTTTCCTGGGGTGACAGAACACTCCCAGGGCCTACCTGGTCTACTGCAGCTGATGGCTTTTCTTATCTGCTTGATTGGTTTCTTTACTCATCATCTCCCCCAGCTTTAGTCTGTACTTTCAGCATAAGGTGATGGATGGATAGCCTGAATAGGGGAGGAGGTGGAACTTACAATGTAAGAAACATCCCAGCTGTGGCCCTCACCCACTTTGGTGAGCAGCCGAGCTGACATTTTGAGGACTGAATGTGTGAGGTCTGGCTCAGTCGAGTTAATGTGTCCTTCCTCGCCCTGATGCGGGAGCACAGAGGATCAGGTTATTGGAATGAAATTGGTCAGCCTTTGTACTGAATACCATTCTCCTAAGGAGGAGGGGAAGGGGCATGTGGTAGGAGGGCTAAAAGAACCAGCTTCCTTAAAATGCATCAGGATAACTTCAGGATAGATCACTGTAGAAATGTCCTCACAAGCCCAAACTGGAGCCAGGCTTTCTGGGTTTGAATTCTACCCTTCCACGATCTTGTGACCTTGGACAGGTTAACCTTCAACCTTTCACTTAAAAATGGGGACAACAATTGTTATGTTCTACTCAGGGTGTTTGTGTAGAGCAGTTAGAACAGTGTTTGGCACAGAATAAGTTCTCAGTAAATATTAGCTGTGCCCTTACTGTTACCATCACCATTGTCATCATCATCATCATCACTTGTTCCTTGGCCAACTCAAGGGGCAGCGGGTGTGTTGGAAAAGATGAGTCAGTAGGTTTGATTCTGGTCCTGGCTCTGCTGTTTGCCAGCTTGGGATCTGGGAGAGATTGTTTTATTTTCTATGTTTGTCAAGCTGGAAGGTTGGGCAGGCCCACTGTGTGCCTTATTCCTGATGCCAAGACACATAGAAAATAGCAACTTTCATGAGGCATGCTCGGTGAATGGACCTTCAGCTACACTCATGGGGCCATGGGGGATCAATAACCAGCACACTGGCAGGGAAGCCTGGACTAGATAATCATTAAGATTCCTTCTAGGCTCAGAGATCAGAGGCCATCTATGACAGGGGAATGTTAGTCCTGGCTGGTCAGGACCTGCTGTGGGGTCTTAGGAAAGTTTCATAGGCTCTCTGGGCCTCAGAGGTTTAGACTAGCTGATCTTTGAGTCTCTTCCTGCTCCAAGACTTGTTAACTTGGTGATTATGGGTTTTGTGTCCTGGGAGATGAAGCTGGTTCCTTCTCCCAAGAATCTGCATCCTCTTCCTCTTCCCCCTGTCAAGCTCCATGGACTAGCCTGAAAGGGGTTGGGGGAGGTGGGGCTGGAAGAGCATCAGCTGGGAGCTTCCTCTGAAGCTTCCCCTTTCTGGTCTTCAGTTGTGGGTGCTGGGTGGAAGGGGTGGTATCCCATGAGCTCGTTTCCCTCCTGACGTTGTGTCCCACTCTGTTTTGATAAATAAATTCAGGCACAGCATCCTCCCCGAGTGCACTGCTGCCGGAGAGTGGGCCTCATCCCGCTAGATCCCTGCACATATGCTGAGGGCAGAGGGCCTAGAACGTAAGCCTCGCCTGCGGGAGGCAGGGCCGCCAGAGCCTGGAGAGGTTTTAGGCATCCTGCGTGGAGCTGTGCCCTAAAGACAAGGTGGCTGCCCTACCCTAGATGCACAGCACACCTACTCCTGTGCTCTTGGGGGCCCCGAGGCCCTGGCCATCTTTAGGTTCTCTGGAAGCTATCAAGGACTAAGGCAGAAAGGAAAAAAAAAAAGCACTCTAAACTTCAAATTAAAAGATTAAAAATAAAATCTCCAAATTTCAAATGAAAAATCTTAAAAGTCTAGTTTCTGCCTCCAGTCCCCCTCTGTCTGGCCTCTCCCACCCCAAGGAGCACTGTCGCTGGTGGCAGCACGTACCCACCCACTGGAGAGGGGTGCCTGGGGCACTCAGGGCCTGGCCGGAGTGGGCCCTGCTCTTTGAAAGCAACCTGAGCACACATGAGGGGAATGAACTCCAGTGCAATCTAAATAAATACAAGAGGGGAAAAAAGTTTTTAGAAATCTGTGTTTACTCTGGCACGCGACTGGCCTCCACTGCTTTTGACATATTAGGAAAAATTTTGGCGGGGACCCATTAGAAGTACTTAAAAAGGCATATGTTTCTTTTCAGAATACAAGGGGTTTGGAATGTATTGTTTAAACAGGATTCTTATGAGTCTTTGATTCATTTAAAAACATATATGTATGTTTGTTTCACTTGTGCTTTCTGCAACATTAACTTCCTTAACTCCCTTCCTCAGACCATTTGAAATCATTATTTTACTGACTATTTTTGCCAATTGTGTGGCCTTAGCGATCTATATTCCCTTTCCAGAAGATGACTCCAACGCCACCAATTCCAACCTGGTAAGTCCACCGTCCCAAGTCTGTGCTTCTCGGCAGAGGACCGACTTGAACTGCGCGGCTTCACGTTGGAATGTGAGAGAGCAGGGAGACACGTGTGAAGACGTGTGCGAGGCGTGTATAGCAGCGCCGCTGCGCTCACATCTTGGGGCTGTCGCGCTATTCATTCGACCCAACACCTGTTTTATCACAGCTTGTTTTCAGAAAGACTACTCCAGCGAGGTGGTAGTGTGCTCTGGGTGGGAGTGTGAGTGTGTGTGTAGCGGGTCTTCTGGGTGCTGCCACGTGCAGCCTGCGTCGCTGGGCAGGGGATTGCAGAGTGAGCTTTTATTCTCTGACCATTTGTTGTTTTTTAGGTGCCTTTGTTCATTCGTAGGGCTTCGTTAGGTGGTCTGCAGCATTGTTGCATGATAAATAATTTCTAGGAAGCTTTTAGGAAAGTTTGCTTTTGCAGCCAAGATATATTAGTTAAAAAGGTCTTATTTTCTTGGGAAAGGCAGCTTTCCATTTGGACTGTTGGGAGGCCAGTGCTGGCAATTTGGGGTTAGAATCTGTCCATGGAAAAAGCGTGGAGAGTGTTTACTTTTGGCTGAGCGTGAAGTCATTACAGAGGCCTTTGCTCCATCTGGGCATGGGAGGAATCGAGCTCCGGAATGCGGCTGGCAACCCTGGGGCACTTGGGGAAAATCTCTCTCGCCTCCCCCCGTAGAGACACTCTCACTCTGTGAGTCCCGTCTTCCCATGTCTCCAGCACCTTCCCTTGATCAGCAAGACGGGACTGTCAATCGAGTTCCTTTCTGACAGAAGCAGCAGGGTTACAAGTTCTCCTTTCCATTGTTGCCAGTTGCTGCTGACTTCATGGGTGTAATCTATTGCCTTTTATCCTTTGACATTTTCTTTGGCCCCTTCAGCAAGTAAGTCTGATGCATGCTTTAAACTTCTCTGCCATTTCCCCAGTCTCCCAGTTAGCCCCCACTCTACATTGGGTAAGGTGTCTGGCGGGAGCCAGGCTCCGTGTCTTCTGGCTTGGCTGGGGCTGTGTGTTGGGCACCACAGCAGGCCAGTGAGCAGGGAGCAATGACGTGGCTGGAGTCAGCAGGCAGAGCATTAGCTGTAGTCCACACAGCCTTCTGAGGTGTGACCTCATCTCTTAACAGGCAAAGAATTTTTACTCTGTTAAAATAAATGTAAGCAAAGCATCTCCCAAATGGCTGCTGGAAAAGCAGGCACTCCTTCCACTGGTGATACTACATCTTATGTGCCTCTAGTCTCCCCCACCATGATCCTCCAAAATGCTTACAGTTTAGCAGTTAATCTGCAACTAAAAAAAAAAAAAAAAAGAATCCATGTGTTGTTCTGAAGGCAGTGAAGTTTTGGGTCTACTCTAGGCAGAAGCAGTGCTGAAAGTAGGTAAAGGAGTTTGGTTTTGTCTCAGGCTCCAGAGATGGCCACGTAACTGCCTGCACCCCAGAGTTCCCGGGAGGGTTGGCAGGGCCACCAGGGAGCTGCAGCAGAGGGAAGCCAGGGCTGGCAGATCCATGAACCCTCTGCCTCCGGAAGCAGAGGGTCTGGCCGGAGAGTAATGGTTATGCTGGATTACTCTGGAGCTAGAGTGAGGTTGTCAGGTATGGAGAATGCTGTAGGGAACATTTTTTTTTAATCCTCACACAAGAATATGTATTTATTTATAGAGGAAGGGGGAGGGAGAGAAACATCGATGTGGGAGAGAAACATTGACTGGTTGCCTCTCATACACACCCTGACCAGGGATCAAACCCAAAACCTAGGTATGTGCTCTGACCGGGAATCAAATCCATAACCTTTTGGTGTATGGGACAATGCTCCAACCAACTGAGCCACCCAGCCAGGGTAGGACTATGGTTTTTTAAAATCACATCACAGAGTAATGGAAGTATTCTAAAACTGGATGGTGGTGATGGTTGCACAACTGAACAACTTTACTAAAAGTAATTGAGTCATATTTAGAATGGGTGAATTTTATGATATGTAAATTATACCTCAATAAAGGTTTTTTTTTTTTTTAGAATAACATCAGCATGCAAGCCCAAGCTTTTCAAGTGGCAGGCTTGTGTTACCTTTGGTTCCTCTGTTCCTTCCAGATGAAGGGTGAGGTAGATGAAGGGAGAGAGGTGGTGGGGACAGGCAGTGAACATTGTCGGTGACATTGCACTAGGAATTGGTGGGTGCAGAAGAGAGTGTGGGAGTTTGAAAAGGGGCTTCTAGTTGCTGAGGCAATTCCTACCTCTTTCAAGCCATGTGTTGGGCAGTGATTTACTAAATTAAGGAAGCATAATCAAGGTTCTTCCATCTGAAACACACATGCACACATGCAGCACCCTATTCTGCTAGCTCTGTCCTTGAACTTCCTTTCCTTTGATGGATGCATACACAAATAAGAAAAAAAATTTTTTTTCTGAGGAAGAGGCTGCACTTGCTACCTCTGCCAGTTTGGTTTTTCTCTCTCCTCAGCTCCTTGCTCTCTGCCTTCCATCCCCACCTCTGGAATGTAATAGATATGGATCTCAGTTGGCAAACTCAGGAGGGAAAGAAATGTAACTTGTTTTTACTTTCCTATAACTGAACAAAATGTCTGATTTGAACCTTCATTTGGCTCGGTGGCATAAGCCTCATCTCTGTAATGTGGGGCCCTCAGCCCCTTCCCTGGAGTTGTGGCTTAGTCCTGGGGACTTCTCTAGGGCCCCTGCATTGTGGGGTTCTTGGCATGGTCGGTCCACACTGTTAAGATGGCCTTGTCCCTTCTAGAAGGGCCTTGGTCCTTCATCCGTGTGGGCAGAGTGGCCTCTTGTTTGCCAACTCAGGGTCTCTCTGACTCTAGATCTCTTCATTCCTGGGACTGTGGGAATGGAGAGTGGAGAAGATCCAAAGGGCCCTTTTGCAAGGACACCCTGCAGGGTGTCACTCACTCTTGTTTCTTTGCTGATACTCTCCTGTTTGCCATCTTGGGACCTTTGCACGGAGTCCCCCAAGAGGCTCCTCCAGTGGTCTTCCAGACTGTCGTCAATGCCCTGACCTACTCTCAAACTTCAAAGCCACAGTCTGACTCCCGTTCTCTGCTGTTGGACTGTGTCATACCTTCCCTGTGACAGCGAAGGCCACTGACTGGATGGGGGAGTACAGTGGTCAAGCAGTATTAGAAAACACCTGTAACAAACAACCAAGTGAACTCCACATCAGCTTACAGATCAGGATATTGTTCTGCTCCTCGGACATCACCAGTATGAGTGTTATGGTCTGGGCCCCCCCTCCCTCCCCTCTGCAGCATCTTCTGTGATTAAATATCCCTTTGCAAAACTCTTATCCCCTGACTTTGGGACAGATTACTGTTAAGTCTCCTGTCTCTCTCACCATTTTTTCCCTGTTTCTTCTAGCTTCTTTCTCTGCTTCTGTGGGAATTTCTATTAGGGTTCTCTCCTAGCCCTCTTACTTTCTCTTTCTATACTCTGCCTTTGGTGAGCCCAGCTGCTTCCACAGTGTTACATTCCATTTCTAGGTAAGTTGTTCCCAGACTTATGTTTCCAGCTCTAAGCTCTTTCCAAAGCCTGGACCAGAATTTTCTACAATAAAGAGGCCAGGGACCAATGCATTCATGCCTGAAACCAGTTTGATTACTATAACCACATGGAAAGCTTGGGCCATATGGACTCCCATGCTTTGGAGCTCTGATTCAAATTTAGTAGTTCTGGGACATGGCCAAGGAATATACATTTAAAAAATTCTTCATTGTGGAGGCAAATGTGGGGGTGTGGTGGGGTATTAATGGTCAGTCAGTTTTGAGAGCTGCTGGTCTCTTGGATAGAGCAGAATTTGAGTTGGGCAGACATTGGTTCAAACCTTGGCTTCTCCACTTTGTAACTGAATCTTAATCAGAAGTTGCTTAGCCTTTCTTGGCCTCAGTTCCCCAGCTTGTTAGATGGAGAGGATGTTCCATCACAGGGTCCTGGGGAAGAGCGTAAGGCAGACAGTGAAGTCCCTAGTGTGTTCTTGGCACACAGTTGTATGTGCCAGAATGTCTTGCAAACATCCGTGCTGAGAGTCAGACACTATGTTTGGGATACTTCAAGAGGCATATCTTGTGTCTAACAGGAAAGATAAACATGGTCTTATAAGGGGCCCAGGTATCAGGGAGAAAGCACTGCTTTTTTTCTTTTTGCTGTTGGGAAGGACATAAGAGAAGCCTCCCAAGGCTTCACATGGGAGGACACATTTGGATTGCATCTCATTTAAGAGGTGATTTCCAGACCAAAAGGGGCATTTCAGGCTGCAGTATGCACATGTGCAAAGGTTCTGTGGTTGTACCCTTCATGACCAAAGGATAGTGTATCAGCTTCTAGTAAATAAAAAGAGCCAGATGATGGCCTGTGCCAGTGGTCAAACTTAACTGCCGGTGATGAGACCCTGAAGATTTGCAGAGCAGGAGAGTGCTGGTTCCAGAGGTATATTTTAGAAAGGGTGCTCTTTCAGCATGAGGGAGGTAGCCCAGAGGGAGGCCCCACTGTTTGTGGTGAGAAAAGGAAACTGCAGAAATCTAGATGATAATGACAACAAGGATAGAGAGGGAGGTGGTGGATTTAGGAGGTAAAGGTGCCTGGACTTGTGACCAGTCTGATGTTGTGGACAAAGGACAGAGCTGATTTCCAAGGTCGTAATGTGGGTAACCAGGTGCCATTAACCAGGATGTCTTCAGGTGAAAAGCCAGTTAAGAGGAAGGGAATGAGGGGTACAATTTGTGATTTATTAAGTGAGGAGTCCATGGAACATGCAGATGGAAATGTCTGACAGTTAGTGGAAATAAGTCATGAGTTCAGGAGACAGTTCATGCTGAGAGAGATATGGGAGAATAGGAAGACGGGTGGGGGAAGCCCCTAACCTGGGTCAGAGCACCTGTGGCAGGGTGGAATGTGAAAGGGGGTGACCCCCATGGCTGGGACCCCAAGAGCACCAATGTGGGCAGAGTGGGCGGA